CCGCGTATCGCGTAACCGCGTAACCAATCAATAATCAGTAAAACGCGAAACCACAACAGCGGATCGCTTCTGATTGGTTAAGCGATACGCGGTAAATACACCTCATGGGACTCCAGCCTCAGAGTTGCTGGGAGCGTTCTGAAGCATCAAATGGACCAGTCATATCAGTGTTACAAATGCTCTGTAGCGTTTGAAGCGTTAAGTGGACCACAGCCTTAAAGGAATAAACCTAACCTATCTCAGCGAAAAATCACAAAACGGTTGCAAAACTGTTGAACGCAGCCCATATCTTCAGAAATCAAAAGACCTTCGCCTGAAGAAGGTAGCCTTAGCCGTGGTTGCTTCTGATTGCATAACGAAAAAACGCCATTATAAAGCTGATTTTTAAGTTTATTTATTATATATCGTGGCATCGTGCTATATTACAAATCATGCTGTGGTATATTGTGTATATTACAATTAAAATTGTATTAACTATGCCAATTATAAGGTTATATGAAGGAGATACTGGAACGATTTATAGCCTAGAAGTTTCCGAAGAGGATGCTATTAAAGCTGATAGAGGTATAAATAGCATTATATGATCTGTATTAAATATACATAATTTAATTTAGAAAAAATAATTTTCGAATTTTATTATTTCAAAGATACGGTATTTGCGACGCAACTTTTATAACGTTTTAAAAGTGCCCAAGAGACACGATTTACCAAGAGTGCTGAAGAAACAGCAACAATTGTCAAAGATGCTGAAAATAGTCGAAGTCGGGGTGATCCCAATTGACCACGTCTCGACCACCAATCCCAGCGACCGGTGCTTAGGAGCTTTGTAGTCTCAAGCGTTGTGAGTGGCTCGTGTCCAATTGAGCCGTGTCCAACTGGGTGCCACCCGTCAAAGTCATTCAATTACTGAATCAGGTAAATATATTATTTACATTTTTATTCCTTTATGTATATCCTCGTATTTATCTTATATGTTTTTCATTAATGATCGAAATCATTCATACTTTTTCATGATACAGCATGTTATGATATGAATCAAACAACGCAAGAGTTTTCTAAATCTTCTCAAGAAGCGTTTGATTTTCAAGAGAAAGGTATTTCCTAATGATTATACTTATAATCGTATTAAAAAGGATCTAAAAACATATAGATCATATGTTATTTTACAGATAGTTTTCGTTGGCCACACGAGGCAGTTCTTTTATTACTTATGTTTTATAAAGAACACGAAGATCAATTCAAATTGGAAAAATGACTATGAAAAAATTTTGAAACATGATTGCCTCTCATTTAAATGAGAAAGGATATAATGTTACAAGCTCTCAATGCAAAATCAAGATGGCACGTCTAAAAAATACCTATAAAAGTGTTAAAGACCATAACGCAAAAAGTGGTAACAGTCATAGGACTTGGCAATATTTTGATGTAAATATAGAGGGAGAAAACATATGTTGAACATATTAATTATACTTAAGATGTATATCAATTTTCACTGTATTCCAGGTAATGGACGAAATGTTTAATAAAAAGCCATGGATGACTCCTATCCTTACATTAGATAGTAGCAATCCTACTTCCTCATTATCTTCTGAATGCAGTGCTGAGAATAAAAACGCTGATAATAAAAAAGATCCATCTTCATATAAAACTAAAATACGTTCTACACGTAAGTACTATTATCAACACTTTATTATGTTTTATTAAAATACGTTATACTTTCGAAATTATGTGCTACCGTTATACTCCCATTTGTCTAATGTGTTTATGAATTTATTTTAACATCAAAAGTCTTATATTGATTGTTATTTTAATATTTTATACTTGTATGTGTATGTAAAATAAATACGTACACTTTTTTACATTTATTATAATTTGTATAAAATATTGACATTTTATTATGATATTGAAATTACAGGTATAAATAAGTTTTCCATGATAGAGAAAATGATTGCTACTACGGAACAAAGTAACATTGAGCGAAAAAAAATGCACGAGGAAGCAATGTCTCGTCAAGATAAGTTACTCGACATTCTAGAAAAAATTGTTACTACACAGAAGTGAATACTGGATGTCTGCCAGAAAAATTCAATTTTTATTTTAAACATTAATATTATGAAAGAATACTTTTGGTTTGAATTCTTTTGTATGAATTTAGAGTCGTTTAAATTTAAATAAGAGAAGTAGAATATGTAACACAACAAAGTCTGATTAGCACATCTATACCTATAACGAATTAATTAATTAAAGATAAGAAAGTTTTTAGTTTTGAATAATATGATAAAATGTGACAATGGGTGCTTTCCATTTGACGATACAAGTCGATACAAACGTCGTTCTATCCTTGTTGACATTCAGAGAGTGACACTTGTGTCGACTTGTGTCATCAACTGGAAAGTACTCAATATATGCTAAATATATTCTATTTTTGTTTTCGAATAAAAGTGATAAATAAGATAATAATGTGATAAAAATTAATACAGTATAGTACACGTTATATTTTTATTTTCGAATAAGAGAAGTGATAACAATATCATATAAATGTAATATATATTCCATTTTTATTTTTTAATAAGAAAAGTGATAACGATGTGATAAAAGTGTAATAATACATGATACATACGTTTTGTTTTCGTTTTGAATAAGAAAAGTGTTCGAATAAGAAAGTTTATATTTGAATAACATAAACTTTCTTATTCGAACACTTTTATAAGTATGTAAATAAGTATGTGATAAATTTGTATTAAAATATGGTAAATATATATTTATGCAGTTTTATTTTATCGTAATATATTTTATTTTATCGATTATATGCATAAATATCTATCCATTTTGAACATTCTGAGCATTTCTCATATCTAAATTATTACATATGTTAAGTTTCTTAGCTTCTGCAATAATTCTATCATTATATCTAATTCTTTCCCTTTGTAATTCTACTTCTTCTATATCAAAAACAATAACATCATCTTCTAATCTCAATTCGTCTTTTTTTAATAAACAAATGTTGTGAAGCACACAACACGCTGATATATGATATGGTGTAAAATCAATACGATTAATTGCTAGTAACTGTAAGAGACTTCTCCAGCGTCCTTTTAAAAGTGCAAATGCCCTTTCTATTACCATTCTCGTTGAAGAATGGTAATAATTGTAATTCTTTTGTCGTTCTGTGAGGTGTCCGTTGTCCACATATGGAACTAAAAGATGTTGATGCAGTCCATATGCGGCGTCTCCAATTAAATGAGTATTATTGGGAAACTTGTTGGGATCATTTATATAATCCTGGAGAGCTGATAAGCGAAAAATACGAGCATCATGAACTGATCCTACATTTCTCACATATACATGCGTGAACTGCATTATATGATCGCACACTGCCTGTACAAAATGCAACACAAATTCTTTCATTAATTAATAATTGCTTAAGCCAGCGATACATAATGCTTTTTTTTCCTGCTGGGTTGCTAGCTCAGTTGATATCTTGCCATTTTATTGCTGACACCGCAGCCAATACAATAGCAAGATGCTTATCCAGTTAGTAATTCAGTAATAAAAAGCATCATGTGCTGCTTGCGGCTATATTTATTACTAATAATAAGCGTAATATAATAAACTAGGATTTAGATATTCTGGTTATAATTACGGGATTTATAAGGTCTACACATATACACACCCGTACACAGTATGTAATAACATTTTAAAATAAATTACATAAGTAATGATATTATAACAGCATTATTAAAATATTACCTGCAGATGAATAGAATGACGACCTTTTTGATTGATGTATGCTTCTGCATTTTCTATAGGTGCTGGAATAGTTATATGGGTACCGTCTATGGCTCCAATTGTATCAGGGAAACCATTTTTACGAGAAAATCCAAGTATAATATCCTGTATTTTATCATTTCTTGGCCATACTATATATCTTGGTGACAATTGACAAAGTGCTTTTGCAACACGACGCACAATTCTTACAGCTGTGGCCTTGCCAACGTTAAATTTCTCAACTATAGATCTAAAAGTATAATAATATATAAAATGTGATTTATTACATGTAATATATAACATAAAGCATGTGGGAAAAAATTTTACATCAGAAATAATAACTAATAATATCATTTTTATTAGTGCTCTTGTGCGTAAAAAATAACACTAAGGGGTGCTTTCCATTTGATGACACAAGTCAACACGAGTGTCGTTCTATCTTTGTCACTCTCTGAATGTCAACAAGGATAGAACAACGCTTGTGTCGACTTGTGTCATCAAATGGAAAGCATGTAAGAAAATTTAAGGTACAAGTGTATGTATTGTATAAAATAACGACATTGTTTTGTGAAATATGTAATACATTACATTTCGTATATTCATTTTAATAATATAAATATAAGTATAAAACTCTTGGCTTATGCGGACGATGTGGTGTTATTGGCGGAAGGAGAAGGGGAAATGAGGAGTATGATAGAAAGGTTAGAGGGATATGTGGATAGAAAAGGATTGGAAGTGAATAGGGAAAAGTCGAAGATATTAAGGTTTAGGAAAGGGGGGGAAGGGACAGTAAGGTTAGTTGGACTTGGAAAGGGAAGGAGATAGAAGAGGTGAAGAAATTTAGATACTTGGGTTACACTATGCAGAGGAATGGGGGTCAAGAGGAACATGTGAAGGAGAGAGTAGAAAGGGCAATGGCGATAATGGGGCAAGTGTGGGGGATAGGAAAGAGGAAGTTTGGGAGGGATTGGAAAAGGAGGATGTGGTTGTTCGATAAATTGGTTTGGTCGGTGTTACGGATATGGGGCGGAAATATGGGGGTGGAAGGAAAGGGAGAGGGTAGAAAGCTTGCAGGAGAGGTATATAAAGTGAGTGCTAGGGGTGGATAGGGGAACTCCGGGGTATATGGTGAGGGAGGAGATACAAAGGGAGAAAATGAGGGTGAGGGCAGGGAAAAGAGCATGGGCATTTGAAGAGAGACTAAGGGTAGGGAGGGGAGGTGAGCTAGCGAGATTGTGTTGGGAAGAGATGAGGGGAAGGAGGAGGAGGGGGGAGAAGTTGGAGGGTTGGGGGGGAGAAAGAGAAAAATTTTTTGGAGA